AGTTCAGTGACTCGAAAGCGGGTTTCAAAGCAGATGCCAAATCTATCAAAGATTTATCTATGATGATTAAAAAGATGCCACAACATCAAAAGGAACTCAATAAGTTTAGGTAAGCCAAATGTTCTTATTCTTATATGAAAACTTTTTATCATTCAATCATCTCAGTACTCATTTTCACTTGGCTGAAGAATGCATGCGGCAGTACCAAAGCGGCGTTGATAAACTTTGTAAAGTTGAACAGGTTGATATTCTTCTTTTTTTTTCTAACTTAAATTGCAATGATCTTATGTTGCTCAAGGATCTTGCTACACAAATTGATGCCGAGGGAGAAAGGGTTAGGGATCCGATGAAACTGATGGTGCCGTTACTGATCGATCCCGTTGTGAAAACCGAGGATCGTTTGAGGCTTATTCTTTTGTATATTCTCAGTAAGAATGGTGAGCTACACATCAAAGTTATATTGTGATAGTATGAGGATGAGTGATTCTTTACCAACTTTCAGGTATCACTGATGAAAATCTCAATAAACTTCTCCAACATGCTAACATTGCCATGGCTGAGAAAGAAACCATAACGAACGCTGCTCTACTAGGTCTCAACATAACAACTGATGTAAGTTCTTCTTTGAACATTGCAGAGCATTAATTTACAATTATAGCAGCAGAATGTGTTTAAAGAAATAAAATGCGGGATATTTGCTTACAGCAGGGACGCAAGAAAGTTTGGACTCCAGCTAGAAAGGAGAGGCCGAACGAGCAGGTGTATCAGTCCTCACGTTGGGTTCCAGTACTCAAAGATATTATGGAGGATGCCATTGATGACAAACTTGATACCAAGCACTTCCCTTTCTTGGCTGGTCGTCAGATTAATCAGCCGTTCAGGTATTTTTTTCATTCTGGACTCCTATTCACGAGTTCTTTTCACGATAGTGCCATGTTCAATTCAATTTACAGAGCTCCGACGTCTGCGCGCTATGGGCAGTGGCATAAAGAGCGAGGACAGCAAGCTCAGTATCGCAGTGGTCCACGTCTGATCGTGTTTGTCATTGGAGGTCTTACGTATTCGGAAATGCGAGCAGCCTATGAAGTGACACAAGCGAAGAAACCATGGGAGGTTATAATAGGTCAGTCTTTTTAAAGATATAAACCTTCAACAGTTCACTTGACTCACTTTTCAAAATATTCGCTGTTACTGTTATGCTCTGCTCTCAGTTCGTCGAATACTGAAATAGCTTCGAACAAGCACTTACAACGTTCACTTTTCCTCTAATATCTGCATTCCAGGATCCGATCAAATTATAACTCCAGAAAAGTTCTTGGCCAACCTTCGCGAACTGAATAAACCCCGTGAACAATGACATCCAACTGGGCACAGAATTGAAATGGTGGAAGATGAAACAGCCTACTCGTTAAGAAAGGCAGTGGTAGCTTAGTGCCAATATCCTCGGCCCTTTGTTGAAGTGCGCCGTTTAAAGAAAAATTTATGATGTGGTTCAGTCTGCCCCAACCTGTCCTAGAAAAACTCATCACTTTTTTGCTAGCCTTAGCTGCCGCTGATGGTTTTTCCTGCCCGGCAGAGCTTTCCCCTGACTTCTCTTTTCGAGACAAGTGTAACTCCATTTAATTCTGTGACCACCACCGTAGCTTCTCATATAGTGCGACATCATATATTCCAGTTATTGTGTTTCTTCCATGGCTTGACTTTTATTTTCTCGTTTTTTTCGTTAAGAATTGTGACCGTAGTCGAAGCGATCACTGGCTTTTTCAAGAGCAGCCTACATGATCACATTTTTCCTTCCTCTTTTGTATTAGAGATTTTGTTCTTGTTTATGTAGATAATCTACTATGTAATAGTCATGAAACTCTATTATCCACGCAAGCGAGATGAATCGTCGATGAGCCTTTCAATTGAACCTTGCAGTCTTGTTCATTGATTTTCTTTGGTTTTAACAAGTTGTGACATAATTTGTATTCGAGCAATATGTATAGTGCATCATGTATGCTAAGCTCTTTAGACTCCTGACATTCCGGTTTAAGCGACCTCATTTGGTCGTAATCAATTTTAATTTATTGCGTGCAAATTATATATATTTGATGAGAATTACAATCTGGTCTTGAATTGATAATCTTTTATTCGATAAAAATCTGCATTCCTGTCGTCTTTGCGGGACTTATCTGTACTGACTTATCCTCTGAGCGAGGAAATGGCGAAAAGGATGCGCAGCAGATGTGGTTTGATACGTAGACGTACTAGCTGTTGCCCTTGTCGCTGGGTGTCTCCATACTTTAAATCAAATCGGGAGAGGCATATTTGCATTACGGCACTGCCTACAGAAAATGGGTGACTTCGAACTTATTTTTCTGTCGCTCAGAATTCACCTTCTGAGGCTTGATTCACCTTCTCCATTAACCCCAGCATTTCAGAAGTTATTAGCGAAGCAAAATTTGTACTTTAAGTAGATGTTGGCGGCAGAAAGTCTTAAGCGTACACCTCTTGCTCGACACCCAACCATAGATGTTTATGAAATGCATATCTATTTTATGGCATCCTCTTTTCGGAATACAATTATGGCAACTTCTAAACCTTACTATATTCCAAAGTCTGAATACCGACCCATTTGCGATATGCGCACGATCGGTCGTCTGAGGAAGAATAAATGTTTTTGCGAGCTGCTCGGCAAAAGCAGCATTCTTAGCACCATTCTACTAAAAATTTCAAAGAGTGGAAACATGATGAGCAGACTTAAGTTACTTTGTAAAGTATCGTGTCATCCTGGTACGTGTGTAAGCCGCAGAGCTTTCATCGGCTCGAGGGATCAGAATCAACTAGAAAGATGCTCTGTGTAGCTTAAATCTACTA